GAGTAGCGTCTAGGCTTGCAACGTATAATTGCATGAACTATCAATCTGCATTAGTCATCAGAATAACTGTCCCTATGACTATATACTGTAGCTTACAGGACCTGGGGCAAGAATTACTTTGCTGACCATAGTACTTTGTTTCAATTTCTACTTTCTGCTTAAGAAATTCAATGTAAATGGCTTGAAATGGATAAGGAATGAATAGACTTTACTATAAGAATATCTTGAAAATCTTAAGTTCATCCAACTCCCCAAATTACATTTATAGATCTTAAATAAACAGACATGATGACTTCTGCTTCTGTATTTTCATATCATGAACTTGATTATTATCAGAAACAACCATACACATCTGGTCACTGAGCAACAATTATGCCTGAGCAGATTGGATCCAACAACGTGTGCATAAAAGCCAAATGCAACACACAAAATATAGCATAGAAAAGGTGTTCTTACAAAACAAACAAATTCTATCAGTATTGGGGATGATTCCTGTTTACCTTTTAGAACTAGAAAAGGATTTTTGTACACCATAATTGTTTTTGGTGTCTTGTAGAATGTGGATTTATCTAGAACTCTGCTAGTTGGAAATATTTTTCTATGGTGCCTCTACTTCTGGTGTTTCTTTATTCATATCAGAAGTACCTTTAAATTATAGTAATGCTTTGAAAGACAGACAAGTAATTGTTCACCATGCAATCCTATTCAAGTTCACTTAGAAGCAGATCCCGTTCAATTTAACAGGACTATGAATCTTTTTTCCTGTGATGCAGTCTTTCAATGTAGCATCCCAATGGCACCAAAAACACCTTGGTCCTCATAATTCAATTTTATGCATGGTAATTTGGAACTCGGTCTGGAATTGCTGCTGTAATTATTTAACAAATGGTATACAAAAAGTATCAACAATTATTGATAGTCACAATTGCATGAGAACCAAACTATCACCTTAATAAGAGTCATATGCATATATATTTTATGCAGATGAAATTAACATTGACTTCTTATTATAAACCACTGTTGCAGCAGTAATCAGAACAGAACTTCATTAACCCAGCAAGTTCCTCCAAACCTTCATCTAAAGACTACTTAATTCTTTCACAGTGGCATTGTCTCTGTAATTCATCTGTCACTAACTAATTATTACATGCTGTAGTGTAGCAGGTTATCTATGGAACAGTTTGCATCCCATTACATCAGCCCACCTGGTCAGGCAGGGAAGACATCTAGCTAAGAAATTCTGACTGGCATGATCCAGATAAGGAGCCTTCTCTGCCATTGCCACCACCCTGTGTAACTTCCCTTCCCCAGAGATGAGGTGGGGCCCCACTCTCCTAGCCTTTTGGAAAGTATGAAAACCTGGCTCAGAGGCCTTGCTTGCTACTCACAAAGGACAAGGGGCTGGTAAGTGCCCTGAAAGCTCTTCCCCTGCCTTTTAATTAATACTGATTTTTAATTCATCATTGCCTTTCAAACTTTATGTAGTGTTTTTATGCTTTAATATTTTTTTTTTGTACACTGCCTGGAGTTTCTCTGTGAGAGGGATAGGCGATTTCAAAATTTGGTAAATAAATATGTGGTCTGATTTTTAAATTGCTTTATCATAGTCCCACCATGTCAGTGGTGACAGAACCTAATAGCTCTTGGGACATTTTTAGTAGGTGTAATCCATCCAAAATTCAGCATCCATGACTCCCATGGGATTTAGTGCCACCACATCTTCCAACAACACATCCCCAAAACCTATAGGTTGCATGACACTTGAGAAGATGGAAAGGGTGCATTCCCACTCTCTTTCCTGCCTCCCTCTGGACCCTGGACCCAATCAGCCGGCACAAGGCCAAATGGATGAGCAGAAATTGGCTGCTTTGGAACCAAAGCCAAAATTTGAAATTCTTAATGGTGGTGGCTGCTGATATTATATGTGAAAAGACTATACTATATGTGGATAGAAGAATGACCCAGTGAGTCATGGGTTGTCTAGTTAAAGGCTAATTCTTTTAGAATAGAAACACAGATCAATAGAAATACACGTGATGTCATACTTCCATCCTCAACACACATTTAATTTTTTCTTGAAAGCTCATTTTTCCATAAAAATGTCATTCCTAATGCATATATCAGCTATTATAATGCATAAATTCCAACTTTTGATAATAAAAGCAAAATAAAGAGGATGAGATACATAGACTTCAAAGAGCCCAGTCTAACCTCCTGAAAGCCTTAATGACAGCGATTATAGATTAATTATAGATTTGTTGGTGATCTTGTGGAACTATTGCAATGCAATACAGAGTATCTTTATTTTGTCTGAATAGTACTAAGACACTGAAAATTCTTGGCTCAAGCATCATTGTGATTTTGTGCCAGTTATTATCTCTCGGCCCAACACACCTCACAGGGATATTGTTGTCGGGAAAATAGGAGAAGGAAGATGTGTTAAATGTGTTTGCCATCTTGTTATTTATAAAATCAATAAGCGTGGGATTAAAATAAAATGAGATGAAAAAATAATATAATAAAATAATCATTATCTTTCCTAGGGGCCCTTAGTCTGGGTGGAGCCCACAAGTCAAATGCTTGTAAATATGCAAGAGCATATTAATTCTCTAGTCATGTTCTTCTTTCACTTAGTAATAAAATATAACGAAAAATAAGAATGTGTTGAAGTTAATAAGCATGTGAAGGTTGGGCTATTTTAAAATGTACATAATTTATGCAAAATTGTAGAACTGTTTGGCAGAACCCAGAAGCAGAGTGAAAATAGGAATCATCCTAGAATCCCTACATGAACAAATGAACTAAGTCCGTCCCCCTTGAGTGTCATTGATCCACGTCTAACTCTAACCAGGTGCTAACCATTAGTTGAGAAGATTCCTGTACATGGCTTTAGCAATAAATCAGCTTCACTGAACCTCACTTGTGGACCTGGTCTTTTATGCCTTACAAGAATTACTTATTGAATTATACCTATGTTTTTAATCAGAAATTCCTGTTCCTTTTTTTCTATTTTAAATATTCATGTGGACATCTTTAATATTTATTTTTATTTTATCTGCATCCCACTTTTATTATTTTTATAAATAATTCAAGGTGACAGACATACCTAATACAGTACTCCTTTGTTCTCCTATTTTCCCCACAACTGCAAGCCTGACAGGTGAGTTGCACTGAGAGAGAGTGACTGGCCCAAGGTCACGCAGCCAGTTTTCATGCCTAAGGTGGAATTAGAACTCAGTCTCTTGGTTTCTAGCTGGTGTCTTAACCATTAGGTCAAACTGGCTGTTTTGACAATATGTCTAAAAAATAAATATTAGGATGATAAACAATGACAATGCAGAAATTGTTTTAGAAAGATATATTTAATGTACAAAATATTTTCCTAAAATTCATGTAAACTTTCTGCTATAAATTCTAAATTGTTTCTGAGTAAATGGAAAATAAATGTAACAGGGCAATCCTATTCATAATACCATGGGAGAAAGGTGTGCTGAAAAAGGTACTTGCATTTCTTAAGAAAAAAATCAATATCATCAAATTACAAGCTGTGAACAGGATGCTCTCTCTCCCTCTCTCTATTGCTCAACAAATATTGCTGAAACAATAAAGCATATGGAATTGCTAGTATTTCTGTTTGAAACAGGAAGTATCACCACAAAATGTGTAGTACTTTGAATTCAGACTCCCCAAAACATTTCAAAGAGTACCTGCATAAATATCACAATCAGATCTGAAATGATACATAGCCCTAATACAATCCAGAAGGAGCCTTAAATTTGATTTCTATGCTGTCTGAGGATGTGAACTTGGTGACAAAGTAGTGCAACTGACAACTTGTATTGGTAAATGGTTTTGTTTTATTATGCTGTGTGACTTAGTATAGCAGCACCATTAACTCTTACAGTTATCTTTTAGGCTGTATCACTGTTCCAGTGATACAGCCTAAATTTAACACAGCCAAATTACAAAAAATAGCCAACAGTACAACTGTTATTTTGGGAAGAGTGCCTTTCTTTCAATGTTGACTCCTGGTAATTTCTTTTTTCTAAGGTGGAAACAGAGTGACTGGCCCAAGGTCACCCAGCTGGCATTGTGCTAAATGCAGGACTAGAACTCACAGTTTCCTGCCTAGTGCCTAGTGCCTAGTGCCTAGTGCCTGCCTAGTGCCATAACCATCAAACTGACTCTCTAGTAGTTGCTAGACTTTAACACAAATTCTGCACTACCTATTTTGAATTATAGTTATATTAATAAAAAGGGTAACCCTATTGTTAATTTGGAGCCACATGATGAAAAAGAAAAATGACTGACATTTCCTATTCTCCTTGCTGCTTCTTATTATTCTCTCCCATTGTAAAAAACAAAAAGAGGTTAAGAGTTGGGTTCAGTAAGCAAGTGAGACAAATTTGAATCCTGCACTTATAGCACCTCTTCAGATTCATCCATGGCATACATACTCTCCAATATTTTTTACTGACTTCAGGAAAGGAAGGACTGCAGAAATACAGTTCATCCAAAGATCAGAATGGGAAATGAATGTTGGATTTCCTCATCTGGGGTCTTCTGACAGAATTCCAATACATTCAATGATTGCTGGACATCTCTCTTTTCCTATATGGACCACATCTGGGTTTGATTGCAGATGATGTAGTACACTGCGCCATAGTTACACTATGCATAGCCTGTAAGACCACAGAGCATCACTAATGTGAAATTTATCCCAAAGGTGGGATATTCTGTATGCATGCCAAGTATTAAATCATGATGACATCTTGGTGCAATTTTGCTTTTGTATCAGTCTTCTACCTTCTACTTTTTACCTGAACATTCTGGTGTCCCTCTAGATTTTCTTTAATTAACTCTTACTTTATATTGCAACCATCAGATGTAAATTAATAGTTCTTTGGGGGATCATCTTTCCAAGGTTAATTGGCACACCAGCCACCTGTTATTGCCTATCATATTAAACCTACAGAGTGCTGAGTTGTTTGGTAATGTATGTTATTTGCACATGCATTTACACCACAAAGCATAGCCTGGATTTTGGATCTGCTTTATACACAATGCAAAGTAAGTAAGCTGAAAAATGCAAATCAAAGCAGTACTTAACTATATTTTGTTAAGACTTGGTATAAATATATAAACCCCTTTTTATGTAGATCATGTTTATAATAGCACATGTTTTAGCAAAACTATGTTTCCAGCTACTGAGTCTTCTGCTAAAAACCAAACAATAATATATAATTAAGGTACTAATTCTATATAACATGAGCAACATTTTATTTTTTTAAAAATAAGGCACAGGTATAAATATAGATGAGCAACATTTATAACATTAACTTTATGGACTAGATATCTTCCTCCAATCTCATTTCCATCCAAATGTGGATTTTTTTTTTAACCTGCTGGCATTTTGGAGGGTGGGGGGAGGGAGAGAATTTCTTCTGATATTCATCAGTGGTTGTTTTTTTTTAACTTTCGGGTGGTTAAAGCTGCTATAGGAAAATATGGGGCTACTTCTGCCAATACCATTTTTTTTTGGTTTAGGAATTATGTTAAGTTCGACTAGCCATTGACATGATTAAAGCAACCTTTTCTTCACCATGCACTCCCTTTAAATACCATTTGTGGCCATGGACCCCCAAGACTTAAGATTTAAATCATAGCATTTCTTCAAGCCTTTGCAGACCTCCAGTGACAACACCACAGCCCTCCAGGGTCCACAGACCACAGGTTGAGAACCACTGGATTAAGGCAAGGACATCTCAAGAAATTTAAAGAATGATCATAATAGTGGAATCAGATGAGAGTTCAGGTAAATCAACTCTATAAGGTCAATTCATCTAACAGCATTTCAGTTCACCACAACTTGTCCAATTATACTTGACAACATGTGAGGCAGTACTGTTTATTCTTTTAGAGGGAAAATATATCGTCATGATTATCTTGATAGAGCACCAATATTCTCTGTTTCTCCTTTCCTTGGCATATAACTTAACCAACTGAACATCTTATACATCATGGCATAAAACAACTATCACTACTTGGCTAATGAGATAATTACTATGGAGACTTAATGCCCCACACAGAGAAAGCAGGGAACATTCTCAGTAGCTGTATAAAATGATAGGATAGACAACAACCAGAACACACTGGGAAAAGATTCTGTTGCCAGCCTAGATACCATTTACAGTCATATAGAATCCAGCATAGTTATGATTTCCATGGGATTTGTGATAAAGATCATTTCTATAGAAATGACCTTTATTACAAATCCCATGGAAAGCATAACCATGCTGGAGTCTATATGAATACATACATATGCAAGTATTCATGAATTCATTTTGTGCTTAAATCAAGTGCATGCCATATAAAGGTATTAATACAGCTATTATTACTTTATAATTTAGACAAACAGCTGACATTTAATTTTATATGTAGAAGATAGAAGTAGTCCTTGACTTACATGTAACATAAATCAATATTTCAACATTTAATATTTTCAGTCAGTGCTTCTGATTACCACAATACAAAATGTAGCAGGAACTGAATAAATTCAACTTCCTCAGTCAGTCAAGTTAAAGTAGGAGTTATTTTCAGAGACAGGATATCTGTATCCCCAAGTCCTGTCTAATGTAAGGACCCACCCCACTTTGCATCTTAAGAAGACAGAACTCTTGGAATAATTCTTCCAACAGGAATCCTTTATTAAGAGAAAATGGTTGTAGGCATGCTAGACAGGACTTGGGGTCCAAGCTCTCCCATTCAAGGTTTTAAGGGGTTCCCCAGTAGTCCCACCCAATCAACCCCCCTTCCAGTGATAGTTTCAAGTATCACAATTCCACTCCCTTTCTTCTTTCTTCCGTCTGGATGGAGACTTCAGATAACTACATGAAAGGCAACTTCCCTCCTTTGGTATGTTAACGCTTCGAGGTTACAATAAACACACATTCAGCATTCAGCTCTTTGAAGTGTAAAGAAGGAAGTGAGGGCCATAAAGCCCCTTTGTTCTCCCCCTTCTCTCCCTCTTATGGCAGAATCCAGAGAAGGCAGAATTGGGAGTTTCTATATTTGATAATTTAAAGATGAAATATAATTGGATTCTGACAAGGAGGCCAGTCTAAAGAATCCTGTAATTCTCTATTTGCTTTATTGGCCTAAAAGAGTTAGTGAGCTCAGTTATAATCTAGCTTGCATTTTTTAAAACTCCAAATCCATTACTCTCTTTTAGGAGATGAAATAAATGAAATGTAAGAAAACAAAATGTGCAGTTGTAACAGGCTATGAAGCTGCCTATCAAGACAACCAATTCTTCCTAAACTCTATTCCTATTTCATTGTGATCATTTAGCTTTAGTTGCAATTACAGAATTATATTTGTAGCAGAATTAAGTCTTTTCTACAGCCAATCCGTTTCTTTGAAGCACTTATTTTCAGAAGTCAAAAAGCTATTTTGACAGGTTTTTAAAAAACCCTAAAAAGACCAATTTTAAAAAGTATTTGTTGATTTTTCGTTGCTCCAATTTTAACTTTGGTTTTTATATTTCACTGTAAACCATTGAGAGATCTAAGTAGTTGACAATATATATAGCATATTAAGTAGCTGACAACATGTTGAGTTGACACTATATTAAGTAAGCGAATACATACATCAATCAGTGATATTCTTTTTACAAAATGGAAGATCTTGCCAACTCATAAAAATGCTGTCAGGTATAAATGTAGTTGCTATTAGAATTATTTGTTCTCATAATATGTTTCTGTATTTCTTACACCACTGTTTTTTAAAACAATTACTTCAGATGATTTAGCACAGACCATGGGACAACAGCATCTGTGGAGAGGTTAAAACTAGCAAGATGGTAGACGGAACATTGCTATGCAAACTCTGCTTCTTTTGAACATGAGTACAACATCAACACATTTACCAAAGGAAGAGGGTTGAATCACAACTCTCTTCCTAATTTTGACACGCACATTCTATTCCACTGCCATGGTGGCTATGAATGCAATTTCCAAATGAAAGCAAGATGTTATACAATTTCTTTCCTATTAGAAGTGTGTTAAAAGAGGTTCTGAAAAATGTTAGATTTCAGTTACAAGGAAATGGATTTCAGATAAACATTGGGAAGAAACTCTTGAATATAATGATTGGATTCACATATGCTAGCCTATATTGAGATTTGTTAACATATTGTATGAACTCAGCCAATTGTACTTTATTCAGTAAACCTTGATTAAATGAGCTGTAGCTTAATGATATATGATATACAGCAATAGTCAATAGATTTGATCCAAGTTAAATGATGGTTTGATGAAATGAATATTTTATTGTTCAATCATTTAGTTGCTTCTAACATTCTCTGTTATGTGAGGGACAGAATTGTACCAGGATTGTCTGTCCATATAAATTTAATTCTTATAAATTCATGTACATGCCATTGTCTTCTATTAGCTTTTTTCTAATTGCTTTGGATTTTTCCAAGCATCTGGCTTCTTTAAATTATTTGTATTTGCATTATGTCTAATGTACTTAAGCTTTGGTGTATGTGTGTCTTTAAATTGATGTTGCCTCCTGACCACTGCCTGGACTAGTTCCTGAAGTTTCCTTGGCAAATTTTTCAAAAGTAGTTGCCATTGCTTTCTTGCTAGAGTTGAGCTAGAATGATTATCCTGTAGTCACCCAGCTGGCTTTGTGCATAAGGTAGGACTAGAATTCACAGTCTCCCTGTTGCTAGTCTGATGCTACACCAGATTGACTCCATTTAAGCTTGTCTTTATTCTTAGTACTTAGTACTTCTACTGTCTTTGAGGCATACAAATGAAGATGCTGGTTAAAAAAAAAATCTCTGACTGTATACTCTGCCTGTAGAGTATATTTAGAAGAAGTTCTCTTGCAAATCTTAACAGGAGATGCAATTTCTTAGATAGTTCCATATTAAAGTGAAAACCCATGAATGATGATATTTTTATAAGAGCTGTGCATGCTTCTAAAGTGTCTCAGACTAAGCACTTTGGACCCCAGTGCAAGTGCAGGATCTTTCTGCTGCTCATTAAAGTAATTTTATATTTTTCAGGCTTTTGCACAAGCTAAGAAAAAAAGTTGCCACTGCTTTAAAGTTGCATAGAATGTAAAGCTCACATTTAGTCTGTGAATAGAGAGCCTGGTATAGCAGTGAATTTATACTCCCCAAATCTGGATCTTCTGTGATTTAGATTTTTGTTTAGGAAGTGAATATCTGCTTCCTAGTCTTTCATCTGATTTGATATCTGCTTTGGTTTTTACTTCATTTGAACTCCTGCCCATTGACAACTGTCTCTGCCATGGGGCTCGTTCTTGATTACCACACATCATTCATTTATCTCTCCTGACTTTCTTCTGAAAGTCACATTCCTGCCAAAAGCCTCTAAACAGGAAACACCACATCTCAAATTCAAGTATTATTCAGATTTCTGGGGACATGAAAAGAGAGAAGCCAAGCGTCAAATCAAAAGTGAAGAAGCCAGAATCTAGTTGATTATTGGCAACCTCAGACAGTGGGTGACAAGAATAACTTATCTAAACTCCAGGCCATGAAAAACAACATGTTCCCTCACTTGTGTTTCTCTTTTGTCTCTTTCTCTTTTTAGAAACGTTCCCAGAGATCTCAGTGGATGCAGTTCAGCTCATTTGATAGTTAATTCTGAAAACCAGCTAGCACTGAGATATAAAGTAATGAAAGCAAAAAATCAATGTGCAAACTATTGATCCTGTCAGAGCTCTTTAGAGGTAATTACAGCATAACACTGGCTCCTGACAGCGCACCACAAAAACATAATAAGGTCACTGGGCTATAATAAAGTGCAGTCTTTGGCTCATATATTCCTTGGCTGTTTTTAAGCTGACCCACAACATCTTCAGTTTATAGAAACCATAATGCTCTTCCTTTAAATATAAAATAAAATGCAGGAATGGACTTCACTTAGACTATTAAAAAGGTTTAAATAGAGCAATGGAGGAAATGGCTATACCACCACAATTTCAGATTCTTCCATGAGAACGTAGTTGTCATGTGCATTTTCCATGCTATTTTGTGTCACTGAGCACCATCAAAAATGAGAAACCTTTTGAGCACCATAGAGGGAAGCAGTGTTTGGACTCATTGATATATAGGACTGTATTTCAAGCAAGATATATGCAACTATCAGGGCTTTTTTTTCTCATAGAACGCCCAGAATGGAGTTCCAGCACCTTTTTTGGATGGAACCTTATAGAGTAGGCAAGGCAAGTTGTATGACATGTGTGAGTTCCGGCCCTTTTTTTTTTTTTTTTAGAAAAAAAGCACTGGCAACAATTAAATATGAATGTAGACAACCATGTTCTAAATGACCATAATTATTACATTAGAGTTGGATTGTTTAAAGCAACAACCGTCAAGAGTTATATAATGAATAAATGATCATATGTAGCCCGGGCACTTATACCAGTGATATCATTATATTGGATGATATCTGCATGCTGAATAGCTTCTTTATTTCATTGACCAGGTTTTCAGCTGACATAAAGAAGAGGAAAAGGGGCAAAAGGAAATCCTATTTCACATATAGAAGTACAGTATGCTTATATAACACTGCATGTTGCTCATTGTAAAAGATTGTTGAAGGATGTTATGTAAGAGCAATAAGTTCAAATGGCACATTATAAGGTAGTGAAATCTATCCTTCACATTCACTTAATTATTCTTTCCCCAGAGGAAGAAGTCTTCAGTTCGTTCCTCTCATTTTCAGAACACTCCAGAATTGATTTTGCTGGGGGTTTTGAGCTTACAATATTGTTAAGGATGCTGGTGTCTGGTTTTCTGTTACACACCTCTCCATCACGTGGGGGGGGGAGTCAAATGTTATAAAAGGCTGAAATGAATCCACTTGCCAATTAAAATAGGCTGTTTGGTTTCCATAACCTCAGGATTTCCAAATGTTTAATTCGCTTTCCATATTTAGAAATGGCAAGAAAGACAGATTTAATGCTCCTTGTCTAATTAAAGTTCCCCAATCTCCTTCCAAGCCGTTCCTCTGGCAACTCAAATCATACACGACACAATGACAGGATAGCAGCTTGTGTCAGAGGGTGGAAGATGAATATTGGTTTTTGTACTAAAAAAAATGAAATGTGCTTAATAAAACAGTTTTGTTTTTTTGTACAGTGGGCTTATGAGTGTGTATCTATATATAATGTTTCATTTTGAGGAATTCTCACAAAACTCCTGACAAATTAATTGTAATTAAAATGTAACACTGTAATTGTTGCATTACACTATTACATAAAATATAATGATGACACTATTACATAATGTCACATAATTTAAATGTCTATCCATATTGAAAGTTGTGTTCCTTTGTCACTTAATAATTTAAGACAGTTTTTTAAAGTTCACTTGATCTTTTAAATCTTTTTTTAACATTATAGCATATTCATTTAATTTATCTTTCTGTTCAGAACTTGATGAGTTAGAATTTTCAGCACTACATATTTTGTTATTATGTATAAAAGAATTCTAGATAATTACTTGTGTATATCTCATTTAGCAGAAATACCAATAGAAATATTTTAATAATACCAATCCAGTTATCTTTTGAAAGAATTCCATTAATTTCATATTATGTTAAACTTTAAGGTACGTAACTTTTCTTGTATTAATTTATGATGCAATCTTTTCAAAGGTATACCCTGGATTTGGCAGAACCATAATAATAGACATTGAGGGATGCACATTGAAATGTTAGTATGGAAAAGAATAGAAAGATATGAGGGGATCCTGTTAATTAGCTATGTATCTTGCTAAGGTAAAAACAAAAACTGGATCATAAGAGAATATCTATTTTTAAAAGTTGTAGTTTCTAAATTTTGAAACAAATTATTTAATATTTAAAATACAGCATGACTTGTTAATATGAACTGAACTGAAAATTAAAACACTAAGGATAAACATCAGTTGCTTTTTAAGAAATACATTTAATAATATTCAGTTTCTAGCTGATTTGAGAAAGTGTTATTTAAACAACAATAATAGCAGCAATTCATTTCCTGTCTTTCTGCTTAGAAGGTATTCCAGATGACTTCAGATAAGCAAAGTATCATCATGTAATTCCATGTAATTGAACCGCCCTATTTATGTTTCCTGGACTGGATCCAGACAGGTATTTGTTATAGTTTAATCTGCTGATTAACAGAATTTATATAGAGGAACTATAGAGATTGCATACACTGTGCTTATACAAAATAAAATGCCCCACAAATAGCACAAGAAAACTGCAATAAAATATATAAAAGGCATTATCCCATGATAATATGGATACTTAATCATTCAAAATACTAAATACTTGAGAGGGAAAGATTATCTTACTTTGGCACTGAGAGCAAGATAAGTGCAAGGAAAGGGGAGAACATTTTAGAAGTCAGATACCATAACTGAGAAAGTAGCAGCGGGCCAAACTGATTTCAAAAAGCTAAGTAGAGTTGACACCACCATCAGGAAATACATGACGGTAATTCAGACAGAATTTAAACAAAGAATAATCCTAGTGGCAAGACAGTGGCAAATCACTTCTATGCTGCTGCCAAGAAAACTACAAAGAAGTCAGCAATCCAGTTTGACTTTAAGGAGATATAATTTATGTTCTTTATCTTACTTCCTGCTAAGGTCAAAAGGATTCTAGTAATGGCTAACCTTTATATAGCTTACATAAAATTAATTTTGCAGTCACTTTTACCAGACTGCACTATGAAGATTGAAGGTTGAAGGGTGGGATATACAAATTAATAACAGTTAATATAAAGTACACTTGAACTAGAAGTAGGTTTTTCTGTTGCTTGCTTTACTGAAATTTCAGAAAGAATTTGCTCTGGTGAGTTTGCAAAAATTCCAACATACTGTCTACTGGCAGTCCAAAGGAACCAAGTTACATTGCAAGAATATAGACATGCTTAATCAATTGATAATAATAACCCAGCATACTACACCTTGTATAGTAGATTTTTAAAAAAAGAATAGTAAGCCATACCAATGTTGATCAGTTCACATTTTTATTTTACTTCAGATATCATAAAAACTAGAATATAATATATAAAGATATATTAAAGAAGTATTGTATTTACCTAGCATCTATTACAGGAGTGTCAAACTGCCAGCCCACGGGCTGGATGCATCATGCCGAAACCGTGCCCACCCCATTGCTGGCAATGGAAAAAAAATTGTGATATGTCGCGACACGTCATGTGACATTGCGAGTTTGACACCCCTGATCTATTACAACAGAAATGTGTTGATTATCAAGTTAGATTTCTAATCTAACTTGTCTTTTAGTGCTGATAGGTGGAAAAATGGTACAGGATATAGAAAGAAGACTAACTTTGAGAAGAGAAGGAAAAGGGCTACAAACATTGGATTAATAGTTTAGACTGGATCTTCACATCATGTAGAGCCATTCTCCCTCCCAATACTTTGGGATATTGCCATATCAGAAACAGCACCCAGAAATTAATTTGTGGTCATACAAACATCACACAAAACACATACAAATGCAAAGAAAGTTGGATGGTGGCTTTTCTGCCAACGTAATTCAACTACAAACTCTTATTTATCAATTGGAAGGTTCAAATCTAGGAAGCCCCCACTGGCGCTTGCACAACATCTGCTTAACAAATTTAACACTGATTCCCAATGAAAAGCCAAATGATTTGCTGAATGCCTAAAGAAAGACAGGAAGACATATAAACAATCCTATGCAAAAAGTGCTAGGCTTTGAATTACTTCACCAACATTAAACAATCCTGAATAGGATTTACACCTCACACGGTATCTGCTGGGATTCACTATATAAATGGGGCTAGCATCCTCCCCTCAGAGTGACTGTGGAGGTCTCATGTCAAATTGTAGATCACATCCTGACCAGTTGTAAAATGAAGGCATATACCAGTCCAGTTCTGATTTCTTTTAGATAAATGATGCTGCTAGATGGCCTAGATCAGAGGTCCCCAACCTTTTGGGCACCAAGAACCAGTTCTATGGAGAGAGAGTTTTTTCGCAGACCGGAGGGGGTGTGGTATTGTGTGCTACCTGCATCCTGCAGATGAGTCTTTGCTTGTTTGCATGGACCGGTTTCTGGCATGCCGCGGACCAGTGCTGGTCCAGGGATCGGGGGTTGGGGACCCCTAGCCTAGACATTAGTATTTGAATATAGATCTTTTTAATATTCATAGTTTACTTGTATCTTTTTATTTAGGTGAAATGTTAATATACCTTGCAAATCCTTGTATGTTGTGTCATACACTAAATAAATAAACTATAAATAGAATTCTGATGTATGTTGGCTACCCAAAACTCGGCTTCTTCAGTGGGACCTCAGAACTCACATTTTAATATATGTGAGGATCTTAATATCATAAATATTAAACAGATTAATATTGTATTGCAGAGGACCCTTTTGATTAATTTCTTCTGTTTTATGCTCCATTGCTAAGAAATTAGTACCAATTATATGTTATATAGTTGTACTGTCAGTTATGACTTTAAAATGTTTTACGTCACCTTGGGAAAACATTTATTCTGAAGGGTATCAAATAATACATGAACAAAACTTAACAAATGGAGTATTCCCTTCATTCTGGATACAAAAACTTAGGAAGTCCCTTAGATGTTCAGTACAAAGTACAAAAAACTCAGCAACATGCATCAGCAGTCTTGCCTCACCTCACAAAACAGAACAGGGAACCATCTCTGTGTCCATTTAAATCTCCAGCTTATCACCAGAACTATAGTACTGCTTTTAAAGTTGCAGGCAAATTAGACACACCCTCTAATGAGCATTCTTCCTATAAAATACAAGGGAGTAGAAGACACATACAGCATTTTATTGATTCCCCAGTGCCTGTACATCTATTTGCACTGCTTGGTTAGCAGACAGAAATGGTGACTATGCAACTGTCTCATAATACAATATGTAAAGTATGTCTGGTATGTTGAATGCTTTGTAGTCTAGCCATCCATGATCAGAAAATATTCTCAATCAGAGACTGTTATGCTAAGTTTTACAGGATGGATTGGGGTCATAGGAACATTGCACAAAAGACATACAAATGTAAATTGCACAATAACTAGATAACAGTATCTTTTTATTACTAGTGGTATGGTTATCAAAATCAGATGCATTTGTAATAACAATCACCATCTAGTGAACTTAACAAATTCCTTTTATGAAAAAGATATCCTGCATATATCTTTGTGTATAAACATTACATTTTTTAACACCCCTGAGTGCTTAGGTTCTGACTGATACTGTCTGGGTTTATACAATATTTTAATGCGTTTTACACATCACACTAATCTACTTTGTTTACTGGCTATTTTGTCTTCAACTGGCATCATTTATGAACCTATGTATGTGATCTCTGAACCTCTCTGTACAATATTGTTCAGTTTCCAAGCTAGCATGCCTTAATTCATAACAAATTGTTTTTGAATTTCTGAATTCTTAAAAGTTTCTGCAGTTTCTGAGTTTCAATTTTAGAGAAAAATAAGAAACATTCATGAACTCAGCAATGCTTCTGCCTTCCCATTTCAGTGAATTGAACACTTCAAAGTCTTTTTTATAACTGAAAGGGCTTCATAAAATATGAAGTGAATAAGAGAGAGTTTTTCTTTCTTCTGGTCTTTTTGTAATTTGGGGAAGAGAGGAATGATCTGTATCTCAAAGATATGGTTAATGTAATGCAATAAACCAGGCTTGCAAAATACACACTCATCTAATTTGTTAAAGCTGTAATAATTTAACACACATTTTGATTTTGCCAGTAATAGCTGTCCAAATAATGGTGTTTTGTGGTTACTACCTAGGACATAGATTTCTTGTTTTCTCTGGAATAAGCAAGGATTCTTAATAATAGCTTCAATCTGATCTGGGGAAGTCAGAGATGCGGAAAGGGCAAGCACTTTGTGAAAAAGTATATGAAAGTAGGAAAACGAATCTTTTGCAGGAGAATCAATTGAGCTTCACCTTTTTCAATCTGTGCATGAAAAGTAATGTCAGCCACATAAAATGAGAGCAAAGAAGTTTCCTGCTAAACATTAAGACACACTCCTAAAAAAAAGGGGGGGTTGTCCATTCTTTGTCAGGTTTACACTAAGTCAACTCAGATAGAGGAGAATATTTGTAGCTCAGGGTTAAACTGTGGTGTCCTTGATACTCTCTGAGTTTGATGGTTTTCTTACAGATGTTTCATTACCAAACTAGATAACATTATCAGTAGAGAATGGGGTTTGCTCTTATTTTTATATACTAACTAGAGGCTTGCCCTGTCAGTGTTAGTGGAAATGTTCTTGGTGGTTCCTTGATTAGGCAGTATACTGTTAGCTTGTTGGTCTGAGTTGATAGTTCCTTGATTGAGATATTGTTTACTTCTTGATTGTTAATCTAATATTAATCTTGATGTTATTCTCTGTTCATTTGGGTGTTGATTGCTGGGGAGGAGGTGTTTTGGTCTTTTTGTTTTCATTCGGGCTTTTTGATTGTCTCTTTTGAATGATATGTAGATCTTGTTTATCAATATGTGACCATCGATGACCAATTTGTCTATGTGCCAGGCTTCCAGGAATTCTTTAACTTTGGTCTTGGCTTGATCTTGGTTTCACAGTTTCCCAGTCAAAACTATGGTTGAGTCTATCCTTTTGTTGTGAAATTAAGGAGTTTTCATCATGTTTTCTGATTGCTAGTTGATATTCATGAATGTGTTCAGCTAGTCTTCTGCCTGTTTGTCCTACATAATGGTTGTTACAATCCTTACACTATATATTGTAGATGACTCCTGCTTTTTCTTCTGGGGCTGCTAGGAGTTTCGGTTTACTTAGGGTGTTTTGGAGAGCTTTAGTTAGTGTGCTACTGTAATGCCATGTGGTTGTAATAGTCTGTTGATGATTCTGAGTCAGCTGCACAGCAGTCTTATCTGCAAGACATTTGGCATACAGGATTCATGTTAATCTGAGAAGAGAGAAATAGATTTATTGCTTTTATTATTTGGCACACCTTTCTTGTCATTCTTGGGATGGAGCAGGGGAGGGGAGTTTCCTTTTGGTTGCATTAGTCACTGTATAGAGGATTCTGTGATGTTTTCAGCTTTGCTTAGCTGCCTATGTTGCGTCTTCGTCATGAACTTGCTTAATTCCAAAGTATTTGGCATGCACAAAAGAATTTCCCTGATCTTACTAACAGTCCAGGACAAGAGGAGATTTCAGTAGGTTTAGATTGCTTGAATTCCTCTCTTCTACATGCCTATTAAAGGTGCAGAAACTTCATCTTTTACATCTATCCACCCTACGTTTGGTATGAAGATCTAGTTTCCACAAATATCACAGGCATCTCTTGTCCAAAGATTCTACAGGAACATTTTGATTATTTCCCTGTGTTCAAAGGCAACCCACTTTCCCCTCTCCCACTAGCTCCTTGTTCTTATATATGGAACTTCTCAGATGTTCAAATCCAGTTACCTTGAATGACCCACTATTACAGGAGGAGTATTTTTACCAAGGAGCAAAAGGCAGTGAATATATAGCTGACTGTCACATAGCCCTATTAGAACACTTGTGTGACATAAGGTTGTAAGGAACAACTTGCACATTATGAAGTCTGGGGTGGCTGATTTCCTTTGCTTGATTTTTGACCAAAGTTATTCAGATGTATGAAACCAAAGATGTTTCCACTACTTAATTACTCAAGAGAGAAAGGGGAAGATGGTGCTTCCCACCAGCATTTAATGAAATCTATGGAACGTGTTATAAATCTTTTCAGTCCTGATAACAAATCAAGCCGCAAAAATTGGGAATAATAATTTTCATTTTGGAGCTGAGGCCCGACTACATTACACATAAAACTCTGGTTCCCAGTTTCCTCACATCACAGAGGCACTCACTGTGTGTGTATATAACCAAAGGAATAACTAATTCTTAAGATGGGCAAACATTGCCCTATAACTAATAGAAGTGGTGAGATGGACAGCTATATAAATTTAATAAATAAATAAAGTAAGTAAATAAGTAAGTAGCCTGTTTACAATTACCCTCTGAATCCCTTCTTAATTTTTTTTTATTTTATTTTTATTTTTGCTGTTCTTTCTTGTTAACTGAAAGACTATACAGCATATTCAAGCAACAGATTTGACATTAAGGTCAACTAATGCAACAATATCACATATACTATATATCAAGGATGAATTTTCAAATTAATTTCCTAACCTGTATTCTTCAGTGTCTACAGAATAATGGTAACTGAATAACCTTTTTCAAACAGTGAGGCACATCACAGCCTGGTGGCTACAAGTTAAAGTGCAGCTTTAATGCTAGGAACATTATGTGATCAGAATCCAAAGAAGTAGTAGCATTTTCATTTGATTAGTCACCAACAACCCATCTCATCTAACCAACATATTTAACAAAGACATTCAGATCATCAGATTGTCCACTGGCTGACTCAGGAATTCTGGGAATCCACAAGTCATGAAAGGGGCATTGTTCCTCACCCCTGCTATAGACAATAAGGAAGATGACCTTGACAGAAGTATACAGGTTATTTATTGATTAAATTTATATGCTGCTCATCTCACTATCAAAGAGACTCCGGGTGGCTTACAACACAATAAAATAAGAATAGAGAAACATTAAAAATGGTAAAAACATTTAAAGCATTAACATTGTTTTATGTATAAATGTGTAAAGGTATACATCATTACCTAGGGAAAGGGGGCCAAAACATTTTTTGAGCCCTGAGACACACAATGATATTTGGAAACATCTCAGGTAGAGCCTGATTCACTGGGATATGGGGGTGAGATTAACTGCGAATTAGCACAATCAGACTTGTAAGATTCTTTTACAGTAGACAATTTCAGTAAAGTCTTTGTGTGAACTTCATTTCCTGCTCTAGTCTATCTAAAATTGCTGACAGTTGCCCAGTCCTGGGTCTAGGTCAGGGGTAGGCAACCTTGGCTCTTTTATGACTCGTGGACTTCAACTCCCAGAATTCCTGAGCCAGCCATGCTGGCTCAGGAATTCTAGGAGTTGAAATCCACAAGTCATAAAAGAGCCAAGGTTGCCTACCCCTGGTCTAGGTGGCCTAATTATTGGAAGTCTTGGATTCTGGTTGCTGCTGATTACCATTAGGTATGTTTGGAATAAGATAATGCCTGTGTATTATATGGTGACACGTGAACATGCAAACCTGGCACGTATTATTGAGATCTGGCTGGGCAGCAATTTAGTTGAAAATCTGCTAGCTCAGGCTTCACATCCTGAAGCAACAGTGACACCAAGGGGAAGGATGGGTAGGTCATAATGCTTGCTTGCTGGATGTATTTTCAATTTTCCTTGTGCATAACATCATTTATTTCTGCTCTGGTTTGGATATTAGTTGGAGAGAAACAGCTGGGGTAAATTGGAGTCATCTTATGCTGTGATAAAGATTCTTTTGAGTGTGTATAATCTAAGGAAGTGTCTATAATTCTCTACCACCCATAGGCTTCATGAATAACTCTCTTTGGCTATTTTGATTGGCTAGATGAGACCAAAAAAGACCCTGGATTTGCATACTTCCTTTTCTAATCACTTTCAGAAATTGCTTGTTAACTGCATTATATAAAGTTATTTAAAATATTTTATCCTGCCTTTCTATTTCATACTTGGAAAATGTAAAACTAAACTTAAAATCACAGTTTTAAAATGCTGTGTGATAGCATTTGTGTCAATTAGATGAGTTGGTATTAATTAATACAGTATACAATAATTCTTTTATTGTAAATAAAATCAGCAAGGGCTGATGGGGGAAGAGAAGTAATTGTGCACAAAAAATCTGAATTGGAGCTAGTACAAATATCCTGCTTCTATATGGATGTGAGCTTGGCTTCACAAGGGCAAGGTGGGGAAATCTCCCAAACTGTTGTTACAGATAAATTTGGGAGCAAGCTGTATTCTAGGTATTTTAGTCCCATGTTGTTCTGCATATATATTTGAGCATTGTGTAGAATATAATAGATTCGTACTGCTTGTTTTCATGCCCCTTTAACTTCTGCTCATTGTTATGCCATATATCTGTCAGCTGAGGATAACATGTTATTCATCCAACAGACTGAGCTGCAGTCCTAAAAGCAATAAATCTCTCAAGTATCATAGGATCCTTTTTGTGTCATGAAAATAACCCCTGAAACTATTTCTTAAAAGATTATTTAATAGAAACCATCTGGCTGTGAAAATAAGAATATACAAAAAGGAGCTCCACCTTTCATTCTGGTACAGCAATCCCTGTGCTGCTGGAGCACACACATCACCAGCGCTTTCTTGTTCTTTGAGACAATGCCCTTTTGTTCTCATCCTTTTGTATGGTGATACATGAAACACTGAATAAATGAAGTTAATTGCCAACTTCTGCTTTTTTCCAAGCGGAACAGGATGGAATGTTGTGGTTTTCCATCTGCATGCCTGCAGAAACATGCTTTGCTACAGTTTGTCATCAGATAAATGTATTATCCTTTCCTACAAATTAGGATTTGTCACCCACTTTGGGGTACCACGATCAGCCCCTAAAATTAGAGAACTGGCATGAATGTTGTGGAGTGGCATGCAATCATGGTATTGTTTAGAAAGTGTATGGTAAGAGAATCAAGAGAAGGGAAGCTCAGTCAGTGAGGTTAAAATCAGAGAAAAACATGTCTACTATTGTATTTATCTATACAAGCTCAGTACCAGTGTGTTTTCATGTAACTGGAACCTCTTTGTAACTGAGGTACCTCTAAATTAGACAATCATAATATTACGGTCTACCTTACATATTTTTTCCTTTAAGTTTTAATATGGGACTTTTTCTTAAATTTTAATTTTGATTTGAGCAAATCTCATAGACTGGAATTGGTGGAAAGATCACTAGATGAGTCATTGTTTGGAAAAAAAAGTAGTGGCAGTGATAACTACTTAGCTGCACACCAAAGTAGAAAATTGAGCTATGTATGGAGCAAAAGGGGGGCTTTTAGGAGAAAGGACTGAGATCTTCAACCATTCACCCTCCATGTTCCATGCCACTTCATCTGTTTATGAGTCAGATAAACACTTAAGTTTACTTAGTAAAGTAGAGAAGGACTCTCTTGTCTTAATTTATTAAGCCTTAATTTTTCTGCCTTCATTCTCATTTCCTTTGTTTTTTTTCCAAATGAAAAGGACTATTAATTTTCACACAAATAATATTTTTTCTTAGACAATTCTGTGTTGAGCACCTCACAGATTGTTCCTGCTCTTCATGGGCAGAGAGAGCCAGGAAGAGGAATGTCAATCATTCCTTTTAAAGTTTTCCATCAATGACTAGAAAATGAAACTCCTGATAATATTTGCATTCTCTGCTCTTTGAAATATTACTGTGGTCATGGTGATGAACATTTCTAGCATTTTTCAGAAAAATAAGGCTCAAAAGAATATTTTGGAAATAGTTGGGGTTTTATATCCAATGTTTGGTATGCTTGATTTATGAACTCTGTGCCCCACCAAACTGTTAGATATGCAAAGTGCCTCCAGCAGTGACCAAAACCTGCCTGCTTATTTTCTGGGATGATCTTGAAAATTATGTCTTTTTTTTTTAACTCTCCTTAAGCACTGTGAAAGAAAAGGATATATCCATACTGTAGCCAGGTAAAAGGTGGGTGCAACACACAATTAGAAATGGTGCTTGCGACTGTGAGGTGGAGGGATCAGGAAAAACAATTTTTGGAAACATAATTTCTATTAATAGCCTTGATTATAACAGTACAATCTCATACAAGTAAATATATATAAAAATTAGAAAGTAAAAGAAAAAGATAAAAAGAGAGAAAAATAAAAATATAATAAAGATCAAATATTTAAAGCATATCCAACATTCATCACAACAAATATCAACAAATTTAATTATTCCTCATCCCTTCTAAGGTTACAAACAATTATTTCTTCATCCCATATCTCATCCCTTATCTATAGGCAAATCCATAAAACATCATCTTTTCAGTCCTGGTATCAGCAGAAAGCCCATAAAGGGTTGCCAGATGTAACAACTTATCTTGTTTTAACCTTGATCAAATAATCAACTTTATATTCCTTCTTTTTACTTCCAACAGTCTTAATCTTTAGTTCATTCAAATATTGTCCTAGGATTTGATTGTTATTCATTTCTTCTTTATCCCTTTGCAGAGTTCTTCAAGTCTTTTACAAGCCTTCTTTGTAATTCCATTAAAAAAATTAACTAGGTCACTTTCTTAATCATTTGTATTTCCCTTTTGATTTTTAAAACATCAGCCAGTTTATTTTGCATATCCAGAAATATCCTTTACATGTTGTTCTTTTGCCCTGTCACTTGTAAATCCAATTTCAATACTGTCTATATCTTATCAGATAAAATTTGTTCCATATCTATTATTTCTTCAGTAATATCTTTTGAACACAATTATCCCTAGATGCAGACATCATGACTGACATTATTGACACTGTGGCTACTCATTTTTGGCTCAATTTTTCAAATGTGTCCTTTATTTTCAGTGTTATAATGTTTTGCATTATTTTGTAGATCCCAATAATTAATACAAAATGTAGGCTAGTGTTTTTTCCCTCTGCCTAGAATCTTTATCCCCTCTAGTATACAGTTTTTAAAATCATAACATTATTTAGCTTTGCTGTTTTGCAAAAAAAACAAAACATTTATTTTCTACAAGAAGCTTTTGTTCTTTAATTTTAAAATCTTTTGGTAAAAGTTTCTATATTCTAAATTTATCTACTATCTTAGTCTAACGGTCCCCAACCTTTCTGACTTGGCAGACGGGGGGAGGGGGGAGGGGATGGTTTTGTATGAGTGGCAGGCATGAGTGCTTATGCACGCAACTCCATTTGTGCGAGTAGCAGGCATACACACCTGTTACAAGTGCAAATGGACCTTCGCATGTAAGCATTTGCCGCTCAGGCAAGTGGAGCTGCTTGCACACTTGCCAACCACTTGTGTGGCTTGGCTCCAAACAAACCGTGGCCTGGTAGTGGGCCATAGCCTGGGGGTTGGGGACTTCTACTTTAGTCAATTTATAGCTTTCTAAAATCAAAATTGTATTTATTTTTTTGTTTATTTCAAATTCTTTAAATTCTTAAGCTTATTACTACAATTTTCTTTCATTCAAGACTGAAAGCAAACTCACCTGGCATTTTCAAACTTCTTGTTCTAAAGGTTTCTAACAGCTTAAAAATACCTATTTAGCAATTTCTGAAAGTGATTATAAAGTTAGATTAGGGAACTTAGTATTCTTTAAAAGTCACCAATTGTGTTTGCAAGCAAGATGGATATTTTCATCATATATCTGAGTTCACACCCACGGAAGACCACTATCTGGTGTCTCCTTGTGAAGAACAGCTACCTGAAGCAATATATGGATAATCTCCATTCTCTCCTTGTCTGAAGAGGTTCTGAACAGTTAGTCTGATCACAGGTTCTTTATTTTTTGCTGAAGCAATCAGCTCTACTTTTGTGGAGATATCTTCAGTCCACCATTCCATCCAAAAGCCCCCGGGGGGGGGGGTGGAGAAATAGTTTGAGGGAGCTGCTTAATCCCGACATGTCATTTTGAGTTGTAGCAATGTTGTGAGTACATTAAGAGAACAACTACTGTCAGATGTGGCAACTTTAATCTAAATGTAGTACCGCACTAACACAACAGGAAAGTGACTCTCAAAATGTTTTAAAATCCAAACCACAAATAGGGTCTTAATTTTTTTTTTAAAGCAGGAATAAAGCAATGTGCTTCACATAATGTGGACTCAATTTTTGCTGTGATTTATCTCATTTGCATAATGATGTTATTCTGCAGATAAATTACAGTATTTGCATTAATTTACAACCTTTGTTGTGATACTATCACACAAATGATATAAATCCTCACAATACCCTGTTCTCTGATTCAGTGGATTTCCCCCAATAACAGACAGCTCATTCTCTTAGCAGTGAGCTCATTCTGTGGATGTTCATTTTAGTTTGAGAAGCTCAGTCTGTTCTTGCAAATATCAAGTAATTGCTACTGCTGAAATCCACTGCCTGGCCTACCATCTGCCTTGCATTTAAAAATATTTCATCAGCTAATGTTATGTTAGTCTCAAATGACTTTAAGACCGACTTTATGTTTGACTGCAGGCCACTGCACGTTTCCTGAAATAATTTAATGAAAAGTTCTGCCCACTGTATCTCCTTCCCCCACTCCTCTCCAGTTTTGCTATTATCTTTTGCAAATATTAAGGAGCAATTGATGGATACTGGATATGGCCAAAATGTTAAAATATTCTTCATTGTGCAGCCACTTCTGCTATATCGACATTTTTGATCCCTACTCCATCTGAATAATAACAGAATAATAACAGATTTGGAAGGGATCTTGTAGGTCATCTAGTCCAATCCCCTGTTCAAGCAGGAGGCCCTATACCATTTCTGACAAGGGGCTGTCCAGTCTCTTCTTGGAAACTTCCAGTAATGAAACACCCAAACCTTCTGAGGGCAAGCTGTTCCATTGGTTGATTGTTCTCATTGCCAGAAAATGTCTCCTTATTTCTAGGTTGAATCTCTCCTTGATCAGTTTCAATCCAATGTTCCTTGTCTGATCTTCAGGTGCTTTAGAAAATAAGTTGTCTCCCTCCTCTCTCTGACAGCCCCTCAAATATTGGAATATTGCTATCATGTCACCGCTGGTCCTTCTCTTCACTAAACTAGCCATGTCCAGTTCTTGCAATCATTCTTCATATGTTTTAGCCTCCTAATCATCTTTCTTGCTCTTCTCTGCACTCTTTCTAGAATCTTAACATCTTTTTTATAGTGTGGTGACCAAAACTGGATGCAGTATTCCAGGTGTGGCTTACTAAGGCAACTTACTTACCTGCAGGCATTGCTGCAAACATTGCAGATTCGGAGAGCATCTTGTCTTCTTCACAGGTCTCTCAAGATGGTTGAAACTCATCTTGACCTTTTAGAAACAGTCACCAAAGGTATTTTTCTCTTCCATGTTTGAGTGGGGTTTGATGTCTTTTAAGTTGCTTCTGGTAAAACTTGGTCAGGATGAGTGAGAGGAACTTACGTAAGTAAATCTTGCAGTGCTGCAAATTATGCCTTTGGCCAACAGAGTGAAATACCAAAACTAACAATTTATAGACAAGAATAAAAAAGTAGGAGTGCTAATACATAGCTGTGAAGGGTAGTTGACATTGCAAGCATTATTTTCCTTATATTTCTAATTGCAACATTCTATCTTTTTGATGTGATGGCTACTAACATGGTTTAATCCAGATGCTAGGTTAAGACTGTGTTTTCTGTGCTTTGTTTAGTACATTAGAGAAAAAAACACCATTTATTCTTCATAATGGCCCATAATGTCTCTTGGTACACAGGCTTCCCTCAGTACAAACTTTGAGGCCTGGAAAGGCTCTGAAGCAAAGGAAATCAAATCAACTTGCTTCATTCTTGGAAGTAAAAGAACAACTTGGCCTTGTGAAGCAATTTTAATAGACTGGTTGTTTTGAAGTTTTGTCAAGCAACACACTTTATTAAAGCTTCACGTTGCCTCATATATAATGAACATTTCTCTTCATCTTACATTTGTTTTCAGCTAATTGCATCAATGGTACAATTCCACAATTTCAAAGATCAGATGCTGTGAGGTGATTTACCAAAGCCTCCTCACCAAAATAGACCCTACTTAAGAATCAGTGTATAATTCACACAAGTTACCAACTCCTTCAGACCTGTGAATACTTCAAGAGATACAATGTATTCCCCCTATAACAAAGAGAAAAAAATTAATTACCAGCTATAGAAAATCATTTTGTTTGATAATTTCAAGCAATGGTTGCCTGTAGCTTCAATTTTATACCTTTAAAAGCTTCAGATATTGTGAATTTGAATTTTTGATTCTCACAGTTGTCTTGATTGTTTCTGCACAAAAGAAACAGCGATCAAGAGTTTGCCCAAATAAAATTATTTTGTTATTTTTCCACAATTTAACACATACAGTAGGAGGAGAAAGCAGTATTCAAAATACATTTAGAGGCATAATAACTGGATAATTATTGCAAATGACAAGGGGGTAAAAGACAAAAAAATGGCTGCCAATACTTTAGCCATGCAAGAGCATTGAAACAGAGTCTTATATCAGCTGCTGTGTCCCTGATGAAAAGTGATGCCAGAGGCATCATGATATAATTACACAAGTGCTGAAAATTTGTTTAATCTGCATGATGATGTAATGATGCACATAGCATTATTGCAGCTTGTACATGATGTCTTTAATATCACCTCATAGAGCAGGAGTACACAACTTTTGAGTGGTGAATTAAAAAGATACATCTCAAGTGAAGACCACCTTCTTATAAAAGATGTGCATGCGGCAAGGAAGATTGTATTTATATGCTACCTACTGATGATGATGTTGTTGATGTTGGTGATGATGATAATGAAAGTTATTATTCTGATGTCAAATTTAGGACTACCAAAAACCAAATTACAAATAAAAGATGTGCTAAAGAGTAATGTGTGATTATTTGACAGGGGGATTTGTGCCGAATGAAGTATGAAAAAATTCTAAAGGAATTTATTATATGAAATTTATCTTAACAGTAATTGATGTACTGTCCAAATATGCCTGGGCTGTCTCTTTACCTGATAAGTCAGGACAGAAGGAGGCAGCTGCCTTGCAGAGCATCTTCAAAAGTTACAGACAGATGCCAGGAAAGAGTTTAAAGTGTGTCAGGTGGAGTTGCTACTGCTAAAGAAAATGCTAAGATTTTATTTCGAGCAATTTCTGTAAAATATTTTAATCTAGGACAGTGGTTTTCAACCTGTGGGTCAAGACCCCATTTGGGGTCGAACGACCATTTCACGAGTATCACCAAACAACGCAGTCCGCCATTTTTTCCCCCTTTTCCTTAGCTGTGCTACTCCCTTTTATTCTATTGGCTTTTGAAAGCCAATAGAATAGACTCTCTTGAATAGAGTCTAATTCTATTGGCTTTCAAAAGCCAATAGGAATTGTCCAGGCTGTCTCTGTCCTGCTGAGCCCGCCAAAAGTGCCATTCTGCAAACAGTGCTGCAAGTTGTCTGCAGTGAAGGCGAGCTGTCTGGAAGTTTCCACCTCTCCCTGCTGAGCAACTACTAAAAATGTAAGTAAAAGAGGGCCAGAGGTGGGAGGTGGGAGGCCAGCGGGCGCAGGGAGGGTTGCTGGCGCGCGTGGGGCCCGGCCGGTGCCTAATCTCCCTTGGGTTGGGCCAGCTGGTGGCCCAGCCAGTGGTCGGCCTGCTCCGTCTATGCCGCTTGCCAGCTACGCCTCGGCCGGCGCAGGGGCGGCACCACGCATGTGCGGCGCTCCCAGGCAGGGAAAGTCCTCGACTTATGACCGGTTGGATAGTCCTCGACTTACGACCGGTTGTTTAGTCCTCAGCTTACGACCCGTTTGGGGTCGCGGCATTAAAAAGGTTGAGAACCACTGATCTAGGATGATAACAAGAGACTTAAGTGAAGTCTTCATTCTTATATTTGTTTGTATTTCTTTTTTATATTATGTTTTGTATTTTTATTGTGTTTTGTTTTTTTAGGTCTGTAGTTTTAGGGGTTTTTTTAACTATTGCATTGTTTTTGCTGTATTTGGTCGTTGTTTCTTCATTTTTCTTTCTTCTTTTTACCTTGCTAATAATGGACCATAATTACTTTTTAAGAAATTCAGCACAGTTGTATACAATGGTTTTACCTGTTTGATCCTAAGAACCACCAACTGATAGTATGCATTTTTGTGAACACAATCCACTTTATACAATTTAGAAAACATGAAGTTTATCAGCCCTCAATATATCCTGTTCTGTTGTTTTGTTCACAAAAGGATATATTGTAAGTCTGAATAAATACAAGAAAATACAAGAATGAGAACAAATTTCATAGGTCTGTTAAAGACTACATATTCATACTTACCTCCCTTCAGAGTTCCACAATATGAATAGTCATCATCCACACCATGACAAACAGTACTCTCCCATTTTAAGGCTTTTAAAGGTCCATTCCACAACTGTATGCGTGCGTCAACAACTGTCAAATCAGCCTCTGCAGAAAAAAGTTCATTGATAATATCTTTATGCAATTATATAAGTCTATAACATATTCCTTGTATGTGTATGTGTATGAGAAAGAGAGTGAAAATCTGATCACTTTAATTTTTTTTAAATCCATGGGATTTCACAAAACATTTTGTGTCCCAGAAGAAGGCATCAGTTGAAAGCATATTTATACAAACAATTATAAACTGTGACAACAAAGCCAGAGGAATGATAAATATTTTATCATATTTTATCATTTATGTCAGATTATATATTTTCAATCTTGTAATGAAATTTGGGACTAATCAGAGACCTTCCACAAATAGTTGCTTCCAGATGTGTTACATTATTCCTACCATCATTTCAATAGACTACCCTGGGTCTCTCTTGTTTTACAAAATACAAAGCCATGATTTATGCATCACAAACTGCAATGAACAGGTTCACATAATAATCTAAGGAAAAACAAACAAACGTTTGATGGCTCAGCAGTACAGAATGTAAACTCAAGTCATTGACTGGGAAATAAGCCCATTAAGCTGAACAGAACTTAAATGTGTACAATGAAAGGCTTGAGCCAATTTGTCTGTAGTAAGGCTCGCTTAGGAGAAATTGCTATCTAAAACATTATATGAAACAATAAGAACAAGGTTGCTTATTTTATATAAGTGTACACCCTTAATAGGCTGTATTTTTATTAGAACCAACTGTATGGCATAAAAGAGTGTTAGCAATCATTTTTATCAATATTTTATTATTTGTACTGCTCATCATTCTGTGAGTAATCGGTGATTGCTTTATTGTATTTCTTGTAAGCTGCCTATGTAAGCATATAGGGAGCAAATCCCACATTCACTAGTACTGATGTTACCTCAGTATGTTATAATGAAATACTGTATCTACAAACAAACAGCCAGATTCTGAGAGCACTAAGGACTCCACAGTTCAACCCTGAGCTACAGATATTCTCTTCTATTGTTTAAGGTTACTGTGAAATATGTTGAGCATTGTGAATCTAACTGCTAGAGTCATTGAAAAAATATATTCAGAAATGAATATGAACTACTGTGACAGAGAGATATAGCAGTGAGTTCTATGAATGTTAACTTTGCAGTAGTTGACAGCACTTCAGCTTTTAGAAAAAATGTCAGTCTTAATTCTCTATCATGCTTCCCAATAATAGCTATTGAATACTGAAAGTCAGTCCTCCTGGAGTAATCAATGTATAAGTAGTTCTCAAAATATGACCAGCCAATTAATGGCCAAACTTATGACAGTCCCTCCAAAAGCTGCATACAAGCCTATTTCAAATTTACAGAGGCTGCAGTACCCCTGCAGTCATTTGCCTTTACAACCAACCACAAGGATACTTCAATGCCCCCCATCTTTCTCTCCCCATCATGCTCTGACAGGACTCCACAGTGCTTGGTCTGGTACCCATATTTACTGGAACCAGATGCCATTTTCAGCATTCTGACAATTCCTTGAGGAAAAAGTGGCTGCTTTCAGAACTTTTGTTGTTGTTGTTACTTGCAAAGTCTGTCTGACCCATCGCGACCCCATGGACAGCCGTTCTTCCAGGGGTCGCGATGGGTCGGACATGACTTTGCAACTAACAACAACAAAAGTTCCTTACTTAACCCCCTCCCTCTTCCAAAAACCCACATTTCTTCAATAAAGAAAACAAAAACAGCTCAGAGGGTCAGACTTGTTGATCTCCCCCCCCCCACAATTACGTACTGAAATTAAACTCTCTGCCTCTGCCCTCCAATTTTGATCCTCTTTAACCACTTAATTTGCTAAATTTAGCTTATCCCAAAACTGCCACTTTGGCATGCAGGCAACTGGCTTCACAAAGCCCAGCAAGGGCCAGGAAAGGTTTGAAGTTTCCTGATTGCCAGCTGATCAGGGCAGAGGCCCAGACCCCTCAGAGGCTTGCTTAGAAGCCTCTCTGGCATTGAAATAAGGAGCTAGGCCTAATCTAGCTGGGCTCTTCCCCCCCAGCTGGGCTGTTTTTAGCTTTGAAAATCTTTTTGCTGTTTGTTTGCCTCCTTTAGGGACCTAGCCTCACTCATCCATGAGGTACCCCATGCTCGCTTAACGACTTGCACATTTGTTTAACAGTAGGATCAGGAGAGCAGGGGCTAGGGGTTGTTAAACAAGGCTGTCTAACTTAACAGTTGTCACTATTTGCAACTGTAATGAGCAACTGAGCACTATTTGTATTTGCAGTCCAGTGAAACACTACAATAGTTGCAAAGATCAGCCAAGTCTGGTGCTTGATCCTGAATAAGCAGAAGCACTTTCCACCCCATAGAAAGTTACCATCAGATCCAACCCAGCAACAGGAAAAAATAGCCAGCATGGTATACTTGCTGAACAAGTAGTACCTACAAGTGGTCATTAAGCAAGGCCACCTGTAATGGAGAACAATTAAGTCCAGTGTGGATAGTAAACTCACTTGGAATCCAGAAAATAGTACCTTGCCATTCTGTATGATCCCGTAACAAACATGGCTCCACTGAAAAGAAGAATGTATCTCTCCCAGAGCCTGCAAGGCAAACAAATTTAATAAAGGGGGAAAAAATCATTAAAAAATGACACAAATCTTTGACCATTCCTGTTGGACTACTACAATACACATCTAATATATTTTTGAAAATAATATCAATAAGTGTCAACCAATACTTTGAGTCTGTGTGGGGATAGAAGAAACTAGCAAGACAATACTTAACCAGGATAATATGAAGCAATTGCATCTAGAAAAACAGATTATATAAAAAAAGATAGTTTAAGGCAGGGGTCTTCAAACTTGGCCCTTTTATGACTTTGGACTTCAACTCCCAGAATTCCTCAGCCAGGCACGCTGACTGAGGAATTCTGGGAGCTGAAGTCCACAAGTCATAAAAGGGCCAAGTTCGAAGACCCTTGGTTTAAGGTTTCTTCTAGATCTGTAGCCAACTGAAGCAGCTGAGATTGCAACAGGATGATGTAGATATAGTATTCTATTTAGAGCTTTAAAATTTGCTTGTTTCTAATCTTTGGGGCCATGTTATTTATAGATTATTCTATTTTTGCTCTCCTACCAAAATATTCTACAAACCATGTGACCCACCAAGTCATAAGAAGTCATCTTCTCATAAATGGGGACATGCCAGAGGTTTCAATAAGCAAAGGAAGAAGTTATTAAACCATCTCCGACCATATTTGATGGCTGAACTTTTCCGAGTGGATCTCAATTTTCACGTGGCACTCAAAACAGTTTTAATATAGTATTATTTTCTGCTCCAAAGCAAATATTTAAAAAAGTTCTCTTTCAGCTTTGTAGGTTATAAAAAGTGGTAAAATAAATGTAAAAGCATGCCTTCTTATTGTAGAAATAAAAGGTTTCAGTCCCCACTGCTTGTTCAAATGTGATATTAATTCATTAGTTCATTTTATTTAAATTAGAAGAAATTGTTATGGTTCTCCACCAAGATTTAAACTAATTTACTAAATGAAAAATAACTTTTGTGCCAATTCTAAAATAATTCATTAGCAAATGAGTGGGACCAAGAGTGTCCATGAAAAAACAAAGGTGCAAGTGAAGGCACAAATGTGATGGCATCATCACAGACAATGCAACTTATATATTTATATCAGATGTGATGACGTATTTTAATTAAAAGGTAGACTTTTAAAAAATGATACAGGCAATTTGCTTTATACTAGAACCATGTTTTCTAAAGTGTGGTCCGAGGAACTTTTGGAGAGACCTGTAAATCAAAACCAAAATTCTTGCCAGATATTGAAGATAATGTAGTTCATGGAGCCACTATGTTACCTATGCCCTTCTTTGGGCACCCAATATTACTTGTGGACCACATTCTGCACTAGCTGAAGCTTCAGATACTTTTCAAGGGTAGCCCCATTATGCTTAAATTTTGGAAGTCAATGAGCATTTTATTACTTTATTTGTTTATTGTTTGTTTGTTTGTTTGTTTTATTATACATTGCCCAGAGACCCTCTTTGAGGGTTAAGGGTGGTTCAGAAATGTGAAATATAAATACACACACACACACACACACACACATACATAATCTAGATAGAAGATGACAAAGGTTGTTCACTCCTGAATAGGGAGGATTCAAGATTACCATAACACTATCAACCTGTAGAATAGACCTAATAGAATTGTACTTTCTGTGTTTCATAACTATTTGACTGGAATTTCTACAGAAGTTATTACACTGACGTTATGATAAGGTAATGGAAATTACAGCATCTTAGGGTAAAAGACTTGGGATACCTATTTAAAATCTGAAAATCATTCTGTGATGCTGCAGTCATAAGACAACAAGCTTATAGGTGTAGATCTGACACCAATTTAGCCATGAACCAAATATTGGAAATATATTTGAAGTAGGGTGGAATTTTGTCTTTCTAGGTACTGCATTTTTCTATTTTATTCTTGATTGGTGAAAAGAAAATAACTTCACTTTTGAAGTTTAAAAATCTGTTGAGATTAAGTAACAATTAGTTTCATTTTCCTAACCAATACCAATGCTATTTTTACTAAGAACCTGAAATCATAAAGCATCCAATTATGGTTTTCATTTTACAGAAATCTGTTTTGGCCAGATGTTAAATCAAAAGTGGAAAGCATGTGAAATAGAAATTGCTAATGAAGAGCATAGTGGAAACCCAGTGCAATATCCAATAGTCTTAAAATCAGGAATTTGTTTGGCTCCAACTAATTGAGGGATAAATTTCCTAAAGAAACAAAAAGGTAAAAAGAAAATTTAAATTTTTTAATTTTAATGAAATTAAAAAAATAATTTTAAAAATTACATTGGTTTAAAGTTTTGCAAACCAAAGAGTTTTTCAGCTGAAAAGCACCACACATGTATGGTTTTCTAATTAAACTTGAGCATCCTAGATTGCAGGTTATCACATTAAGAATAAAGACCATACTGATACGTGACACTAAAGCTAAATTTGTCAGGGTTACTTTATTGCAAAAATAGAGCAAATGGAGAAAGAGTTCCACTTTACTGAAAACACAGCTTTTCAAATGTCTGTAAGAATGTGTGTCAGTGTTAACTGCCAGCAATTGCCCGGACAAGTTCTTGGCAAGGTTTTTTAGAAGTGGTTTGCCAATAGAGGAACTTGGCTCAAAGTCACCCAGCTAGCTTTGTGCTTAAGGCAGGACTGGAACTCAGGGTCTCCTGCCTCCTAGCCTGATGTCTTAACCACTACACCAAACTGTCTCCCTTTTCAAGTTATACCAAACTGGCTCTTTACTTAAGCTACAACTAGCCTTTTTGTAAATATATAACAAGAAAAGGAAGCACAAATACTACGCAAAAGAGCTATAGGTTAGTGAAAAGAGCTGTAGGTTAGCCAAACACACAGAGAAATTTAGAAGTTCACCAGAATGAAGACTCAATGGAAGTCTCTCCAAAATGATCTCCCTCCTTCTGATCTGTTTCCGAGTACTGTACTATCCAGGACACATTTTTTCTAAGTCTTTTAACAAAACAATAAAGCAGAAGAAGGAACAAACTAATCTGAAAAGTTTTGCAAACTCTACTAAACAAAGGCATAGTGGTTCTTTACTTACCACAATAGGAATATAAAATATCGATGTCATGGGATGTACAAAGCAGTTGTTTTTGCAGTGCCACTGTAAAACCATAAACAAAAAGAATGATGACAAGTTGGAAAATGTGTAGATATCTCAACACCATCTTGTCAGCAACAAAGTAACTTCATTTTCAATAAAAAGAGGAACAATGTTTTGCTTCGTCATCCTCAAACGACATTTTTTTTTAAAGGGGAATAGCTATGTTATATCTTAAATGATACCAAAACAATTATTTGAAATTGCCTTCCAACATTTTAGCCATTGTTATAGAAGACATGCAATATATTTTCTGAATCTCATTTTGGCTTTCTGTTAATGAATTATATAAAATTATACAAATTACAAAACAGAGAGAGAGGGAGGGAGGGAGGGAGGGAGGGAGAAAGAGAGAGAAATTACTCTATTCACTGAAGCTTGATTTGATTATGACTGTCAGGAGGCAGACCCTCAAGAAATATTGGTTTCTCAATTCAGCTTTATTATGGCTTTCATAACCCTCATCTAACCACCAGCCTTTTCCTTCATTCACAAGCATGAATGGACCCTTTCAGGACATTATATATGCTGGAGTAAACCTGACTACACAAACCTGACCCAGAGCTTAATGAGTAGTTATTCCCATGGTGGCCTCTTTAATATGCTCAGAAATAGCAATTTAATTAAGCAAATCAACTGACCAAAACCTGCTTTTAAAAAAAATGGAATAATCTGGGTTGGTAGATTCCTGTTGTGTTCTTCCTGTTCACATTTATATACAATAAGGTTCTGATCCTAAAAATGATGGGGTTAGTTAAAATCAACTTTGATCTTATATCTAAAAACAATATAAATTATGGTATACCTGCAAAAGTTTTATCATAGAAAATTATCTAAGATAACAGGTAAGTTTTTCTTATACTATATATATAAACTTTTCAAAAATTCTAGTTTAAGATTAGGTTTGTATGCAAGGCTGTAACACCAAGGCAGTTCCTACTAGCATAATAATTAAGCAGATATGCACATTTGGGCCACTGCTATGGCACATTTGTTAACTGTCTATTGTAGCAGCCAAGATGAATAATCATACCTGTCATTCTCCAAAACTGAAGAGTAGATATACTGCCATCCTCCTTTATGTAGATGATGCTGTTATCTCAGTTTCAATTGGCCAAAAGTGAGTTATGCATTGCAATGCAGAAGCATTCAAAATTAATTATACAAATTGTACAAAACTTAAAGGATGCCAAGCATCCTAAAATTCATCTCTGGCAACTAAATAGGCACTCAATTGTAGAGATTGAAATCTTCATGTGTTTGGGAATAGTGTTTTATTTTACTGGACAGAGTACATATGGAATATATTCTTCAAAAAATCACAAAAATTAACATGAGCTATGACACATTTCTATTATTCTAGAGGTACATGCTTCATATAAAGGTAAAGGTTTCCTGTCCAGTCATGTCCAACTCTAGGGGGTGGTGTTCATCTCTATAAAATATGCTTCTTTTTGACCACATAACTTTTATAATTATCTAATTTTTAAATATATTTTTTCTTTTATCCTGTCCTTTTCAAACTGGTCAGTGACCATAATCAAGTTAACTGAGTTATTTTATTTGTCCTACTTTGTCCATAAATGAATGGAAAACAGCTGCAAAATCATACAATTTCACAGCTTTTCATAATGGAGATAATCCATTTTTGTAGCTCAGGTGTAGTAGCAGATGCCATAGAAAATTTTGACTGTGATTGCCTATCACAGTAATCATGTACCTTTCTCAGGACAATCATTTTTTGGAAGAACCACATGTATTGTATCTTGTCTTAAATGTTATGCATATTCCAAAAAATTAGCCATCTTTCTAGCTATCGTTATGTATACATTACTGTTAGAGCTTCTGCCTTTTTGTAAAAGTGCTCATCAAACAATATTTGGTTGTGATCATTACAGATGCAGGAAATATGCATGTAAGCTATTTAACCACAGATAAAATTGTTGGGTATAGCCGTAATGTTCTTCAGGGTAAGACTAACCACTCTTCCCATGTAATTGAAATCATTTTGAAGACTAGATTGATAAATCTACCCTTTATTCAGAACTCTTGTGTAAAAAACCTGTGCTTTATTACCAAACTATATTCCTTCTTACCTCTTAAGTATGGCCAAAGGTCATAGAAGCTATATGTGCACTACAGCAGAGATCCTCAACCTTTTGGGCACCAGGGACCAGTTCTGTGGAGAGGTTTTTCCGCGGATCGGAGGGTGTGTGTTTTGTGTGCTGCCTGCATCCTGCGGATGGGGCTTTGCTTGTTAGTGCGGCCCGGTTGCTGGCATGCCGTGGTCTGGTACTGGTCCATGGACCGGGGCTGGGGACCTCTGCACTAGAGGAGCAGGCAGTTTACCTTTGCATAAATATGTAGAATGGAAGTTATGTGACTGTGTAGACCAGGTTTGTAAAATCCATCCTTCAAAGGATATAATTTTTAATTAATTTTATTAATCAGCCTTACAGAGAAGAAATAAATCTTTCTACTGTTGTCACTTAAGCCTGAGCTAGTAAATTCTCATGATAGTTCATAATCAAGTCGTAATATTACTGAACTCAGTGTCAACAATTCAAAAGCACAGTAACCCTTAAGTACATTTTTTTAAAGAAAAAAATTGTGTATGCCCCACTAAGTTATTTCACTTATTAGTAAGCCAATTATGGCTCCATTTATTTAACAATGCATGCTTTATGAGCACTCCATTAGAGCATTTAAAGGTGTCATACAGTATTGTGGTACAGGTCCCTCTAGTGGCAAAAACGCTTACTGTAGTGAAGTGCATCCATTCTTTAGTTATCCATAATTGTGAATTGTAACTTCCTCAATAGTACAGTTTTGGAAAAACTGAAGAACATTTCAATAGGCAGAAACTTAAAAATAAAGAAATAAAAACAGGTACTCCTTAAAGTTGAGCTAGTTCTTAGAACTGGGAGAGGATTCTTTGAAGATTGTATCAATCCATCTGTGAAATAGATTCTATTGTCATAAAAATGCTTTTTCAAAAGGCAATGGACCATGTTTTTTCCTTAGACATTTTGTTTCTCATCCAAGAAGCTTCTTCAGTTCTGACTGAATGGTGGTGGCAGCGGTGGGAGGGGGGGAGGGGAGGATTTATATTCCTTGCAGTCATCTGGTCATTAGCACTCTTTCAGGGAGTTGTTGAGGCCACTTTGAAGTTTATCAGGGTCTTGTGAATCAGATTGCAAATGGTTATGGAATCTTCTTGGAACTGCTGAAAGGACAGTGTTGTAAACAGGGGATAGTGGTGTCATATCCCTCCCCCTCTACTGAGAGAGGACTGTTCAATTTTAACATAGATGACCTTTTTGACCCTTCACTGTCCAGAGAGTGGTCTCCTTTGTTCAGAATGTGGACTCTGAAAGAGGGGTCAAAGACGCAATATCTTAAAAGACCATATTTTTGCTCAACAGACTAAATGCCTATCCCAGTAAAAGCATTTTTAATCACAGTCATCAATATTTAAAATAACAAAACTAGAATATGATGAAAAAAGCAATATTAGGTCATCTAGAACCTGTGAAAGACTTCTGAACATGAAGCATTTTGACATTTTAGAATTCTATTCTTCTGAGTCCTTCAAATGAAACTGAAAGGGTTTGTCATAACCCATAAGATGGCTGTAGTCTTGAGCATAATTAAAAAGGATTGGGTTAACAAGCATTGATCTTCTTTTAACATAAAATGTTGTGAAGATCTTGCTCGTTTCTGGAACAGTCACATCTTTCTGATGGAATAAAGTTTTCTTTTCTCTCAAAATGCCACTATATGTAATTGCTGTATATGTGTCCATTTTATCTTTATGGTACAGACGGATAATATACCTTCTAGTAAATAAATGTAAGAGAAGTGGTGTTAGGAAAATAAAGAATAGCGTGGCACTATAAAAAGCAATTTCTGAATAGAGTTTGTCAAAATTTAAGCCATACTTGTGTACGATACCAAACAACATGGAAGCAGTAATTATACTGGTGGTAACACAGAAAATCTTCACTCCTGCAAGAAAAAGAAAAATATGTTAATAGTTAAGAAGTTCAAATTGGCTCCCAACCACATATATGGCATACGCTTAGACAGTAATTCAAGAACTATGAAGTACTAAGTTCCATTTACATCCATTTGCTGGAAGAGCCATCTTCCCTCAACAGGACTGGCTTCGGAATTGATATAGTTCAGTTAACAGAGATAAATGAAATATTTAACAATATGCAGCAGTTTGGATGGGAAGCTGAAGAGATACTTCCTGCCTCTTTTATCATTCCTGTAAGAAAGACAGCTTTTCCTGGGCTTCCATGGCTGCCAGAAAAAGCTGTATAAAGGTTCTTGTTTAGCAATCCCAATTAAGACTAGCAGCTCTGTTAAATGAAATATTTGCTAAATGGAAAATCATTGTGCTTTCCTTTTTCCCAGCCCTCCCAAGCTTTGGGATGCTCAATTCTGAGAGCTGGGAAACCCTGCTTGAAATTGATAAACTAATCAGTTTCACACCTTCCACTTTTGCTTCCCTCCTAACTACACCCCTGCCTTTGAATGCTCACCCTAGCTGAATGCTGGGATAATTAACAGGAAGGCAATTAATGGTTGTATTTACATTTGTTGGAGAAGGATTACAAGAGAATATATAGGCACACAATGAGGAATATACATCAAAAGCAATGTGATGGCACCAGGAGCTATAAACATGCTATGCAAATAGTCCAGTATATTATCTATTGTCTGCTTAATTTCCTGTAATCCCTTTCATTCTAATTTTCTTTTCTGGGGAAACAAGTAGTTTCTAAAGCAGTATCTTCTGGACCTGACTCGTTTTCCCTCCCAACACCAAGAGTGGAGACACTGGAGTGGAAGGGATTACAAGAGATCACCCCTTTATTACAAAGTCCCACTCTTTTGTTACAAATCTAAGATATATGCCACTGGTATGAAGAATGTCTTTAAAACTTGCTAGTTAGCTTCTGAGTCCAATTCAAGTGTTGCCTTTATCACCTTTAAAGCCCTTTATGGCATGAATACAGTCTCTCTGAAGAACTGTCTCACCCCAGTGGGATTGGCCTGCCCCACTTGAGTTGTGGGGGGGGGCACGGAGAGAGGCTCAGCCAATCTCATTGTATACATGTTGTACTTTGATAATAAAGGTTCATTCATTCATTTGCTCTGGGTGGAGGGAGTATGGTGCTGACCACATTGGCCAAAGAACTTCAGCTGGCAGGGTCCAGGAGAAAAGCCTTTTCTGTCGTAGCTCCTGCCCTTTGGAACATCATGCTCCTCATGGTGGAATCTGGCCTTACCCTCTTGGCCTTTCAAAAAGTGTTGAAAACCTGGCTCTGCCAGCTAACTTGGGCCTTCCGCTTTGGGGGTGTTTAGTAGATTGAGAAAAGATTCCACCTCCACTCCATTTACTTATTAGTACCTATTTATCTAGTCCTTGGTTAATTTTAATGTTTTAATCCTTAATGTTTAACGTTCTTAAATGTTCTATATTATTTTTTTATATTATTGTGAGATGATTGGCATATAAATTTACTAAAAGTATAAAAGAGCAGAGGAAAAACAAAATATTTTGTTTAAAAAGATTTTGGAAAGCAATTAAGCTGGCCAGCGTTTCTCATGTTGACTGCCAACTAAGAACTTGCAGTAGTTCCTGATAGCTATTGTGTTTCCCCAAAAATAAGCCCCTCCCCTAAACTAAGACCTACCATGATTGGGGCAGGGGCTAATGTAAGTTCTACCCCCAAAATAAGCCCTAGTTAGAACCCTGCCAACTCCGTCCCACCTCGATGCCGCAATGGGGAAGGAGGCCCCATGGCACATCCCGCAACTGCCGTCACAAGGTGAGGCAGGTGGGGGAGGGAGTGTAGCTGCCCCATGCGCCCTGCACCCACTTACTGGTACTTTAGCCTCCCCCCACAAGGCCATTCCTTGATCGGCAACCTTTCACTCCCCTCCCAAGCTGGACTGCCATGCTACGGCAGATGGTATGGGAGGAGAAGGCCTGGTCCCCCTCTGCCATTTCAGAGCCAGGGGGGAGTGACGGCGAATGGCTCTGCTGCCATTGTGCACTTTAAGCTTCACCCTGCAAATCACCTGCCCGCCACCACTTTGTCCTCTGCCAACTCTCCAGGCCATCTACCTCCACCAGCCCTTTGTCGCCTGTCGAACGGAGAACGCAGCAGCTCTGCCTAGAGATGCAGAGCAGAGAACAGCACTTGCTTGTTGCCTGGATTGCCCCGCGTCTCCCTTCTGGAAACGACAGCCCCATTTCTTGCCGCTTCTCCTCCCGGCGCATCTCCTCCCTCTTCCCAAAAGCATTTCTTTGCTAACCTGCTTTCCAGCTCTGGCACATTTCTCCTCTGCTGCAGAGAAACTGAGTTTGTGGGACTAAAAAAAGTTCAGTCACCAAAAAAAAAAAAAAAAAAAAAAAAAGATTTTGCAAGAAGTTGGAAGGTCTGACTGAACTTCCAGCCACTGTTTCTCCCATAAACTAAAAGGAGCCACCAAGGTGCTCCAAAAGTGTTTTTGGATTTCAGGCAGGAAAAAAAGTCATATGCAACAGAGAAAGTATCTTAATGTTCTTCTTTCTAGCAATAGTCCCAAATGCCTGGGTTAAACTACTACATAAGTAGTAGTTAAATAAGAGATTTAAATAAAAAAATGTACATAGTTATGCACTTTGCATACAGTTCTGTATGACAAGAATTCTCACCCATGAAAAGGTTTTTTTTAAAAAACAACGAATTCCAACACACTTACCTAATACAGTTTTTGATAAACTTCCAGAATAAATTAATCTTCCATATTCTGAATGTTCCTCCAGGGATGATGTACCAAAGCTGCACAGAGACTCCGCATGGAGAAATGGAACCTAGAGGCCAAATACCATATATAACCAGTAGTATCAATATCTTTTCCAGTAAGTATACTCAGATATAAACATATATATGCAGACATGCTTTCTTCTAGCAACTAACCTAAATAATGATCCTGAGAGCCAGTTGAGATTGGCAAACTGCTGCCCTACCTCTAACCATGGTTCCCTTTGTTATGTGAGTTATGCATGGACCACATGAAAAATTAAGATGCCTATAATTCAGAAATATTTATTGTTTAAGATTTATATGGCCACCTATCTTCTGCAATATAATCTTGGACAGCAGACAACTGCAATTTATTTATTTATTTATGAGACTTATATACCGCTTTAAGTGCAAGCACTCTCTAAGCAATGTATATATATATATTTACATTGCCCCCAACAATCTGGGTCCTCATTTTACCTACCCCGGAAGGATGGAAGGCTGAGTCAACCTTGAGCCAGATTTGAACCGCTGACCTGCTGAACACAGTCAGCTAAAGTTGGCCTGCAGTACTGCACTATAACTGCTGCGCCACCTCAGCACAGCAATGAAGGAAATGAATGTAAATGCAATGAAGGAAACATAACAAAATTAAAGCTACAAACATTAAAGCTACAAACATTTTTTAGATATCCATCCTTAATAATTAGCAATTTCAACTCTGTTTGCTACTATATATACATTTTAAAGAAGCAGCAACAAAAACATTTTGAAGTATTTCCTACCAAATTAAAAGTAACCATTTGTTTATATCTCCTGATGGAAAAAGAAAACAAGATACATGTCCCAGATTTTGTTTCCAATTTCCTGCTGCTGTTGGCTATGAAACCCTGATATTTTTCATCCCAAGTACAGGTAGCATGGATCGCTCCATTTGGTGGCTCAAGAATTTTGGGAGCTGTACTTCACTCATCTTACAGCTACCGAGGTTGAGAATCACGGGATTACAGCAGCGACTGTTGATCCACACGTGCCATCTGCAGGCCAGGAGCCGCGTTTTAAACCCCGGTTGCATGTTTTCTACGGGGACTTCCGTCCTCTCTCGCCGTGTAAGGAAGCACCGTTCGCTGCAGCACCTACCTGCTTATTTTCCCCCAGCCAAAACCGGGATCCAAACGCTCGGGGCGAACCAAGCGGCGTTAACAGTTTGCAGTGGGAAGCCGTGAAGGGCTGGCGCTTCTCGAGGATTCCCGCCAACCTCTTGGCCGGCTGAAGCGCCCTACATCTTCCGGCGCTTTGCTGCCACAGTTTTAGGCCGGGAGCGTGAAGCCTCAATCCGGCCACCAGCAACATCTCCGCAGGAAGTCAGAGCTACGGAAAAAGCAGAGCGAACGCCACTGCGGGGCCTCCCCTTCCGGCTTACAGAAGCCGAAAGCGGCCTTGGGAAAGCTGCTGCAGCACGTCGCTGTGGGAGGGGCGCGACGTTTCAAGTTCAGCGCCTGTCTGAAGGTGGGGCTGAAAGGCGTTTGAAATTACTCGGATGCAGATCAAGTGCCGAGAACCCGAGTGTTCTCAGTCGACGAATAGATCTCCCAGATGAAGAGCCACTCTTCAAGTGGTCTTGGGGAAAGAGGAGCTCGAGAGGCGATGGGAAGTTGGTGGGAACTCTCTCTTTCGTCTGCAGCAATTGGACTGTTAAAAAAAAAAGTAGCAATGCCAAGTGAATCAAAAATACACCCTGGGGAAACCGACATAAGCCTTGGGAATGTTACACCCCCCGTCCTCCCCTTGGAATACGAGGTACATAGGTAAACATGCTGCAAGGGATTCTCTCTGTTCTGTACCTGGAATAAAATGGGTTTTGTTTTTTTTAAGAAGCTGGAGGAAATAAGATTAGGAAATAAAAAGCATAGCCTTTGAGATGGTGAAAAATTTATTTGAAGCTTACATGTTTCAGCTACAAAACTCAACTTTCTTATAGGACCAATATTTACAATCTAATCTGAAATACATGGAAAACTTTTATCTTCAGTTTTGTTAAGTCTGATACTAAAATTAATGATTACAACTGAATATAAAGGAATACCAAGGAAGTTTTTTTGGGGGGGAAGGGTGTAGCATACAAACACACCAAGTATTTGGGTACAGAAATGCAGGTTTAATCATCCTATAGAATAGCTCTTCATAGCACAATATTCCCCTGCTGTCCTAATCTACAACTACTCTAATTACACTATGGAAAAGCATCAGGTTGAGGAAGGTAGTTCGGAATATTTACCAAATTAGGATAAAATGTTAATCATCAATATACTGAATGTAAGGATTAAAAAACAATGGAAAAACTATTGACTAATGAAGTTCTACACATTCCCCCTACTTGGTGTAATAAACCTAGAAAGTCTTGCAACAAGTCCATTTGGGTTTAGTTATCTTTTCATATGAGAATATTTTATCTTTAAACCCAAGAATATAGTTTATCTAGTTCGCCAAATAACTTTTGACTCATAGAGGTGGCTTCATAATTTCCTTTAAACTTTCTGGTGCTGCAACAATAGTCCACTAAAATTCAATGCAAAAAAAATGAATAATCTAAACACCCCCCCCAAAAAAAACCCTTCTTAATTTAATGTGTTAATTTAACACATAATCTTTAAGGGTTGGGTTGAGCCTCAACTTGTTGCTCCAATCTTTCCACAATGTTTTTCAGACGTTCTTCATTGTTGAAGAAGAACAAGCAGAGTTTTCTTTCCATCTCCTGTACTTTATTATTTTCCAAGACCTTCTTCTTAGCTTTTATATCAGCAAGAAAATCCATAATAAGTTGATTTATTTTATTCAATTGGAATTCCAACTGCTGAAACTGTTCAGACAGTTCCTAAACATGAGAGAAATACAATAGTGAGTTCAATATACTTCTGTCCCACTATACTCTAGAAATATCATTATATTAACTCCTTTATGTAGGCAATCATGAGCTTTTTCTGCCCACATCTTTTTGAAATATGGTTATTTAAAATTTCTGATTCTTGGCGTTTATATTGTAAATCAGGAATATGAACATTTTGATTTGATTCTATTGGCCAACTATTACTGGTTGTTGGCAAGATCCTTCTGCTGGATAAAAAGCTATGGCTGGGTTCACACAATACATTAGATTGGGAGTCTCAAGCTCAAATATTCAAAAGTGCTGATGTCAACTGAACAGCCACTTCACTTTGGTCATTTAATTTGTTGCATATTTATTTATTTATTAAATTTATATGTTGCCCATCTCACTATCCAAAGCAACTCTGGGCTGCTTACAATATAATAAAAACACAAATATAAAAATATTAAGATTAATAAGAATTAGATAAAACTAAGAACCAAATACATGAGCAGTATGAAGGTGGGATCTTTAACTAAAATATCAATATCTGGTGTAAGTAACCTAGATCAAAAGAGCTGCCCAAATCCTATTTTTATGTTCTTTCCCTCTTCTTGGTGAATAGAGCAATTTTAATTTCCTGCATTCTTTTTTAGATCTGCCCCAAGAGCACAATTTCCAAACTCTTGATAAAAATGCCTCCAAGTAACCTCTTTCAGTGCACCAATTTCAGTATATATTTTGGTCCACTGAGGAGGTCTAGAAGATGCATCAGAATTGTCTTAGTAAGGTGAAAGGAGCAGAGGCCAGAAAGTGTTTTCTACGATAGTGCCAATGCACCTGAACAGACCTCTCTTAAACAAGCATGATTCCCACCTGCAGTGACATAACCCTAATAGGAGAGGGCCTTCAGAAAATTATTATTCACAACTGGTAATGTTTACTGAGTACTGCAGTCATTTTTCATGAACCTGAATTGAATTATATTATTTGGGGTTGCAGATTATTTTACTGTATACCCTTCATATAACCAGTGCTGCAATTTTGTGTTGGGTTTCCATTCTCCTCCAACAGTGTAAGTATAAGAAATAAAATTGGAAAGCCAGAGAAGACAACTATCCCTCTACAGATAGTCCTTAACTTACGACCACAATTAGGCCCAAAATTTATGTTGCTAAGTGAGAAATTTGTTAAATGAGTTTTGCCCCATTTTACGAATTTCTTGCCACATTTGTTGTGAATCGCTGCTAAGTTAATAACATGATTGTTAAGTGAATCTGGCTTCCCCCGTTGACTTTGCTTGTCAGAAGTTTGCAAAAGGTGATCACATGACCCTGGGACACAGCAACTGTTATAAAAATGAACCAGTCGTCAAGCATCCAAATATTGCTTGGGGATGCTGCAACAGTCATAAGTGTGAAAAATGGCCATGAATAACTTTTTTCAGTGCTGTTGTAACTTCGATCAGTCACTAAATGAACTGTTGTAAGTAAAGGACTACCTGTATTGTCACAGTGAGGCAGGGGCTGTAAAATTAATGAGTGAACATTCAACAGATGTCAATATGAACTGCTGATAGTACTAAGATGGTCAAGGAAAAAGAACCACTCTCAGTCAGAATATTTAGGTTAGGTCCAGACTGTGTCACAGATTTGGAAGGATTTAATTCTACCTATCAGCTTTATGATAGTTTACTAGAGAGTTTAGATTAGACACAACAAAAAGTTATAAGGCATTTTCTTATAATTACAGTATTAACAAAAGTACTGCTGAATACTCCATGAAACCACCATCTCGGGTGATCATAATCCAATTACTTACCTGATTACTAAGACACACACTTTCTTCTTTGCAGTATATTGAATCATGAAGAATTGTTAAATCAGCATCCATCTTTGACAAAAGAAGACTTTGTTCTTGGCCAGCTATCACTAACTGGTCAAACATTGATACTGAATCCAAATGTAACTTTTCAGCCATCTCTTCAAGCCTTTCGTATGTTGTAAATAATTGTTTTGGATTCCTTCCTTCCAGAAGTTGACACATCCTTTAAAATATACATAGACATGGGATAGAAATACAACAAAATTAACAACACCAGTATTTCATTAATGATGAAGCATAAAATATAACAGACCTTACATTAGTGCTTCAGTAAGTTTGAAATAAGTCAGCTTCTTACCTATGTGCTGCAATATTCTTTGACTCAACAGTGCTATTTTGTGTCCTAGGAAGGGATATAGAAGGCTCAGACACTGTTTCTATTGTCCGCACTAAAATGTCATTGCTTAATTTCAGGTCTTGCACCATATTTTCCAGCAGACGGCTGTTTTCCCTAAGTTTTCGAAATTCAATTTCATATGCCAATTGAAGAAATTCGAATGATGCCTTCTGTTTGATCAGCTGGTTACAAATCTGATCCTGCCTTGATGTATAGTAGTCCTGTCGAGCAATTTGTAGATCAAAATCCCCTTTAACCACAGGCATATTCAACAACTCTGCATTCTCCTTAATCAGCAAAGGTAGGGTTCCACTGTTTATTTGTGATAAATCTGTTTTTATTTTTGCAATATCATTATTCAAACTAGAAATTTTAGCTTCAAATTTTTCTTTTCCATGAATCTGCAAAATAGACAAATAGTTTCTGAGTTTTTGTTTAAGTGAATTCTTATTGGGGATATACAATACAATACAATACAATACAATACTAATACTATACTATACTATACTATACTATACTATACTATACTATACTATAATACAATACACACACACACACACTTATAATATTGTTCCATTCCTTTTCCTTCTCCTCCTCTCTGCCTATCCCACAGCATCCAACAGAGTTGAGGTGCTCTAGATCTAGCTCAACAATTGAACAATGTCATCTTGTGAGGCACAAGAAGCATACCTCACAATGCCTGTTCTATGGAATACATCCTAACCTGGCCTTTAAAAAATTCCTGAAGACCTGGCTCTTCCACCATGCTCTGGGCCAGGATAATATATAAGTCTGTTGCAACTACTTGAAATCTGTGTTTTTTCCCTAGAGAAGTGTTTTTTATTTTCATTGCCTTCTATGTTGTTATGTGGTCAGCTATATAAATTGAATACATTCCATAACACACTTTATTTTGAAGTATAATTACAATTACTCATCTTTAAAACCTGAGTAGCTGTAGACCTGAGCAAGTGATTCCAAGGATGACTTCTTAAGCAGGGGTCCAACCAGCGCCTTCTTCAAATCTGAAGTATTGTTCCCCTCCTTCAAAGACTATTCTCTAACAGCACAGAAAATCCTATTTATTTCAAAAATCACTGATTCAACCTCATTCCAGCTAACACTTCAAAACCAGCCAAGGCCCAACTCAGCATAGATCTGAGCAACTCATACTACATTTTCAGGATTAATCTGTTCTAAAATGCCAAATGAGTTTGCTCAAAATAATTAGTGCCAGTGTATGGAACATTTAAGAGGATGATATGTTCAAGTCAACTCACTATGAATTCAAAGACCATTTAAAGTCAAGACAATAGCATTAAGCCTTATGCAGATATCACCTTACCTTTTTTAAAGTACCTATACTCTTCTCTGCCCACTGAAGACCCGATCT